TTCAAATCCAAACTCAGTACAGGGAAAAAACAACAAAACAAGCTGAGTGGGCTTAGACACTTTGTCCATTGTGTGTTTTTCCTAAGTTATAACCAACTACAATTACTTTTTATAAATAAGAAAAAACAAAATCTCAAGTTTGTCCAGTGGAAGATTAATGCAATAAGGGGCAAACGTGGAGCATTTACTATATAGGATTGCAGTAGTGTTTATATGTAGTTTTATATAGTTAAATTTAGCCATGCAAAAAAATAAAGGATTAAAGCACAGGCTAACAGTGATGAAACCATACCACTGTGTCAGTACTGTGTGCAGTTACAACCCTATTATTAGTAATATACACTTTATTTATTCAATTGAAAATTTCTCTGAGCATCAACAAGACCTTTGAAACAATCAAATATACTGAAATGTTTTGAATTCAAGTTCACCATATAATTTCCAACTATAGTCACTTGTATGCCGACATAATAAGATGTTGTCAGTGGGTTTCAATAAGTGATTGCCCCTCTTTGGTGTGCCACTGTAGTTTTCCCCATACTACACAGTTCTTGTAGTGTCTGTGTATGTGTTTTTGTGTGTATACATTTATGTTGGTTTGATATTACTATTCTATCACTGACCTGCCCATCAAGCTGAGCTGTGTAGAAAACCCAAGTGGAGAGGGGTTTGAGGGGGGAGAACTTGGGTGTTTGATGAAAGCCTAGACTCCCTTGCTTTAAGTGACTGGCTATTGATCAGGATGGCAATCGTGCTAGCACTCTATTAAATCATAAGCAGTCTGTCTCTCGGCTGTGGCGTTATTGAGCTATTGACAAAATTGGAGGAGTTTAACAACAGGGACTACAGAGCCTGCAGTTACAATAGTTGATGCATACCAGATGTCCTTATAGACGGATTCTCCCTAGAGAGACTGATTCAAATGAATGACATAAGTTTGGAAGTTTGGCTACATCAGCATGTTTAAATGTCAGTAACATTTAGTGACATCTGAAAGACTCAAGACCAAATATTGATTTTAAACAACCACCAGTGTTTACTTGTATGAACTATACTGTACATAGGTTATTCATGTTTAAAGGCCTCCAGCGAATAATATTTGATCCTGCAAATTCCAATAAAATTCTCTTAGGACAGAAAAATATAATACTTAGGAGCAGAAATATTCTGGAGTACAAGAAGTACTGTACAGCAAACAAACTAAAACTATTGCTATGTCCATGTGGTTGATCAACATAGATATTTGTGTTTGTTGTTCACTTAAACTTGCAAATGAATTAGCTTGAAATCACTAAGCGTGTATACTTAACAAAAAAAAAAAAAAGTAAACCTCTTTGCTAAAGATTTGATGCTCCAGTTAGCAATCTGGTTACTGATAATATGTGCTCTTCTTAAGATGGATTCATTGCTGTTACCAAAGACTCAGTCACAACTTTACCAAACGTTTTAAAACAGATTATAGACAGCCCCAAAAAGCTATAAATGGAGAGCCAGGTTATTAGAAATGCATCACTCTACGTTAAACTGTTATTTTAGTCACAATAAAACATTGTAAACTCTTTGACATGTTTTCTAACTTTTATGCCTGCTCAATGTAAGAAAGTAGCTGCAGTTATTCCATAACAAACTAACATGAACAGGTTATTCTTGTGTAACCATAAACACTTTTTTTAAAGAAACTTCCGTTTTTGTTTATGTTTATTTAACACTGCAACCCGCACAGAATCCCTTGTAAGCTTTGCTCAGTATCTGTTGTACAGCCAGTTAATGTTGAATTGTGTTATGTTTGGTTTACATTTCTATCACACTCGCCTGCTGTGACGTGACTAGATAAAGTATTTTCATTTTGAGCATACCACAGTGGCCAGATGTCTGCTGAAAGTTCAATCTGTATATGTTAAAACAATACTGGAAGAATTTACCTTTCAAAAATGTTTTTACACTCTGCAGTAAGGTAATGCTGTCTGTATGTGATGAAAAAGACAAATTATAGGGGAAAAAATGTAAAGCAAAATCAAATTCTACGTTGCTACAACTCAAAGTCAAAGAACAGAATTGCTTGTAATCATCATCTTCTCTTGATTCCTTGATCATTGATGCATCAATCTCATCAATCTAGTCTCTGAATTCAGTGATATGAAGTTCGTTTTTTTTTTTTTTTTTTCTCAGAAGACTTGAATCACAGTGCAGCTAAGAAGCTTCACCTGACTTTAGTGGTGCCTGATAAAGATTTCATCAGGGTTTGACTGCTGCCTCCCTCTTTGACAGGCTTAGCACTATTGTAATTAACCCCACTTAGCAGTCCATCATGTTTTCTCTTTTTTTTTCTCCTCCCCTCACATTTTCTCTGTCTCTGCCCTGCAGCAAGCACTGAAAGAGAACTTCAGGCAGAGGGAGACGGAGGAGAAACAGAGGAGAGCGCGGGCAGCAAAGGAGAAGGCAGAGCGTGAAAAGCGGGAGAGACAGCAGAAGAAGAGGAGGTTGCTGGAAGTCAATGCAGGTAAAGACTGCATAATTTGCTTTGCCTGTCAACTCTTGCAACAATAAAACCCTTTCACAGAGCCGTGTGCTGAATCAATCTAGGGTCAAGCGGTGTAAGAGATCACTCAAAGACAACGAATCTCATTTATAACATACAGCCCAAATTTTAATGGATTAGAATTGACAGCTATTTTCTCACAATTCAGTTTTCAACACTATAAAAATAAAACCCCCACATCTGTAGAGAAAATCTGTCATCTCATTTTGATTGATGGATGTAGTTAAGTAATGTTTAAAATAATATCCATTATGTGATATTAAAGCGTGTCATAAGGCTTTTATTTTAAACTGTCACTCTGTCCATATCACTCATGTTGAAATTACAGTCTTAACTTTAATTATTTCAAACCAATTAAGCCATCAAATGTAGCTGACCCGTGCATTATTAAACCACTATTACATAGTAACACAAATTTGAGACATGAGCTTTATTGTGTTGCTTTATTTTCATTTGTGCCCTTGTAGACAGTGGTTTTTTTTTGTTGTTGTTGTTTTTTTTACAATATTACAAGGATTACAGAAGTTTACTTTTTAACTAACCTATCTTGAGAGGTCAGAAACATTTGACAGGATTCAGAGTATTACTACAACACAGCACTTTCAACTCTTCTTGTTGAAACAGTGTTTGTAACCTTAGCATATCCAGTCTTTCTGAGCAAGACAAGTATTATGCCAGTGCCTTTTAAAGGAGATGCTACAAACTGCCAAAATTAAATGAAATCCTTCTTTATGTTTCAACATTTCAAGATAACTAGGTCATAAACTAGGACACACAAAAAGGTGGTATCTTTTTGGTTCTCAAAAAAAGAGAAAAGCAGCCAAATGCAGCAGAATAAGAATTACTCTACAAAGGAAAAAATAGTTTCTTCTGATTTCTGCCCAGAATTTAGCAGAATGCTTTTTGCTCACATGTAAAAATAAATATAGCCTTTTTATTTTTTTAACACTTTTCAGACAAGTGCTAAATTAGAGTAAAGAATCTGATTTGGAGAAATTATTTTTTTTAAAACAAAAAAGACAGTCACTCCTATTGCAGTATCAGAGAAGCTTGCGCTCATGCTTTATTTGACATATTAATAAAAAATGAGTGCATAGTAGGTTCAACAATAATACCACATGCACCATATATCAGTTTATATGTGTAAAACAAGGAAACTATTTTGAATTATTTGGGTGATGGGGCAAGTTTCACAAGCCTAATCTTGTTCAGTTTGTGACTTGAGTGAGTACTGCCCTGTGCAGTATCACTTAAGTGTCATGTGATTGCATTATCTGTCAATAAATGCATTATTTCAAAGTAGTGTATTTCCTCTTTTAAAAAAAAAAAGCAAATGCTTTAAAACACATCCATCAGAGCAGAAACTCAGTGCACTAAAAGTGAATAAACTGACACATGAATGAGAAATTAAATTCAACGCTCAGTTGAATTGCATGAACATGGTCATAAAATCCATGTGAATAGTTACGTGTTTGCGCCTTGCTTTGATAACTTGAAAAAAATCATTGTGAGACTTCAGAAAGATGGAAAAGGATAAAAAGAAGATTGGTGACCCTCAAAAAATCAACTGAAATATATTTGCTGCAGTAATCAGGAGGTATAGAAGAAGCCATAGTACTACCAATCAGAGCTCTAGCGTTTGCCCTGCTAAAATGACGATATTGACAGTGTGTCACAATCTTTCTGAGACAGACAAGTGCTTCAGACTTGAAACAGGGGTCATCATTGAAAATCTGATTTTCTGTGACAGCTTAGACCATAGGTGTCAAACTCTGGCCCGCGGGCCAAATTTGGACCGCAGCCTAATTAAATTTGGCCCATGAAGCCATACAAAATTACTATTAGAGCTGGCCTGCATGTACTGCTAATACTACAATTCCCAGAATGCTCTGTTGGTGTTTTGGTGCATCAGTCATGACAGGACCCATTAGCACCCTCTCCTCTGTTGACCATAGTCATAGCAACCATGCAAATACTGCCATGCTACCTATCCCAAAATGGCAAAAAGAAAGGCAGAAAACAGGAGCTTTCTGGACAGGTGGGAGAATATGAGGAAAATTTTATAAATGATAAAATGATAACATTTAATTCAGAAGGCTGCAAATACATTTTTTATTTAAGAAATGAATTCCACTGATGTGTTATTTAATTGCAATATTAAGTTATATATACGTTTATATAAGTTATATATATTGTTTAGTATTAAGTTATGTTTGTTCCATATTCAGTTTTTCAGCAAAACTTGTTTGAGTGCATAAGAAACGATTCCTTGTTATATTTGGAGGAAGATTTTTTTTCCAATGAATATTAATGACTTTGATCCAGTTTTGTATTTTGGCCCACTGTGTATTTGAGTTTGACACCCCTGGCTTAGACCATGGCTGTCAAAAATAAGGCCTGGGGGCCAGAATGGGCTCAGCAAAGACTCCAGTATGACCCAGTGAAAGGCTTTGGAAAAAGTGCAATGAGGGCATGGATTGTGAACTTTCTAACTGTAGTTTTACAGATTTTAAAGACCTCCACCATTGCCACTCATACTGCATCAAATAGTTTTGCAATAGATACGCAATTAAATGAAATGACAAAATGAAGTACCAGAACCTTTTGCTTTACACATGTATTGTGCAGAAAATGGAGATGTATTGTTGAAACTGCACTTTGTTTTCTTATATTATGATATTTCATGGATGACCTGTTTAGTTAAATGTCCTTACAATGACAGAAAGAGTTTTTTTCCCCGGTCTGGCCCACAATTTAAACTTAGTTTGAAATCCCTGACTTAAACAGTGCAAAGAATAGACCATAATGATAACCCCCACTTAAAAGAAGAAGAAAAAAGTCTTGTTCACATATTAGGCATTTGGCACATATGCAAGATAAAACTAAAATAAATTTGTGTAATTCAGATGACGTCCAACATATTTGCCATTAACCTTGCAAGGGCTTCTAGAGTGCATGGTTCCTACAATGAAGCATAGAGGTGGGAATGTGATGATAGGGAAATGTTGACATTTATAGATTGCACCATGAATGCGTGTTTATGTAAGACAAAATATTTTCTGACAGCATGCCTCCCACTCTCCAGTAGTCTGGTACAAGAATGATATTCCAGCATGATAATACAGCAGACTGCCAAAATCAGAGAAAAAGAAAAAAGGTAAAACTATGACCTGGCTGGTGCATTTCCTGACTTGAATCCAACAGAACACCTTTGGAGTGTTTTTAAAGAGGAAGGTAGAGCAACAACCCCTCCAGCAAAGAACAGCTGGAAAAAATTATCTAAAGAGCGACAGAACATCTCTGGAAAAAAGTGTGCAGTGCTGTACAGTATCCTACATGCAGGAAAACATGGAGTCTGCAACCACAAATAAAGGAGGTGGACAAAGCTTGTGTTCAATTTGAAAATGAAGCAGTTACGTGACACTGTTTTAAGTCATTAGACTGTTAAGCGATACTGCGTGGGGTGTACAAACTATCCTATAAATGCAGCATCAGTGTTTACTTTGAGTGGTTACATGCTGTGAAGACAGAAGTTACTGTTAAACATTCCTCATTTATATTGATATTTTGCATTGACAAATGGGACCTGAATCTTATAAATCATTGTCTCCTTTCCAACTTTCAGCAAAAACTGAGAAGACAGCACCTAGCTGTCTAAAATGTTATTCTCAAGAGATACTACTGCGTCTTACACAGATGGAGGCTGTTACTCTGGCTTGTATCATACATTATCCGATACAGGCTGTAGTTTTATAAATCACTATTAAATATTTAAATTTGTATTGTTGCTGCATTTGATGAACATATTTTCTCTCAAGGGAAATTTATCTTACAGTTAGAAAGCAAAATCATAACAGACCTCCAAGTGGGAGTAACACTGAAACTATCCCCAGTGAAAGAAGCTCATATCTGTCAACATAAATGCATTTTCAGAAAGTCATAATTAATTAATACTTGTCCACCCGATAGTCTTTTCTTTAACCACTTATTGGCTTCAGTTTGTATTTTAATTCAATTTTATAACACTAATACACTGCATTTGGTCTTTGACAAGGGGCACAGAGCAGTTATCTAGTCTTTTGCCTGAACCTAAATAATAAGAGAACAAGATTAAAATGTATCTATACGTTTTCCCTAGGAAGTGTTAGTGTCTAAAGATCGGATGAAACCTTCTCTTTCCATGAGCACAGAGCTCCTCAGATAAGATTTGAGAACATTTACACAACAGAACAGCAATAGAATGATTAATGAGTCATAATTGCAAATTTAGCAGACGTTTCACTTAAAAAACAGTATTTGTTACCTCATTCCCTCTTGTTGAGCTGTGCGTATCAGACCAAATTTGCATTATGAGCCATAATTGCAGGTAAGGCTGTTACAGTAGAGTCAACACAGCAGTGTAAACAGATATTTTGTTACTTATCTGAGAGCGACTTGCCAACAGTATGTGGCTGTTGTTCATTTTATCAAATGTCAAAATGCTAACAAATGTCAGCAGGCGGCTGTTCTCAGACAACAAAAAGCAGGCCTAGACAGACTGTATTTGAAGCTGTGTTTCTCCACAAAAGGACAAAAACTAGGTGCTGGTTTTCACTCGATGCACTTTTGCAGTTTTTCTGAAAGACTCAAAAAGTTGGTCGCTCACCCACCCCAGAGTTAATGAAGTCTGACATTACTGTAGAAAATGGGATCTTGGCAAGATAAATATGCATCAGTTGGCTAAATTATTGTTCCTTATGAGCCACCATGGCTGCATGTGTGTTTATGGCTAGGCCAATCATTGTGCTAGTGGACGTAGTTTAGCCATGCGTAGTAAAGTCTCTCCATGTCAGCCCTGCTCACTCAGTTGTTATGTTTCTGATTAAACCCATGACTGACATTTGTGGCATCATTGGGCAAAAAATTCTATAATAACCTTTGAGCATATTGTAATTCAAATTGTTGAACAAATGAAAGTCTGG